TGCCTCTGCCTCTGCCTCTGCCTCTGCCTCTGCCTCTGCCTCTGCCTGTGCGCTCGCTCTCTCTCTCTCTCTATCTCTATCGTTTTCCCTTTCGCTTTCTCTTCCTCTTTATCTTTCTCTTCCTTTTTCTCTTTTTCTTGCTCTTTCTCTTGCTCTTCCTCTTCCTCTTTCTCTTCCTCTGTCTCTTTCTCTGCCTCTGGAAGCGGGGATCAAGGAGAAACACAAAATGCTACCTGCTGCACCCCATAGAGACAAATTCTTGTCCAAGATCTGAAAAGCAAGCTTTCCAGGAGGATGGCCAACAATAGTTGTCCGGGACGTGAATACCCGTATGGCTACTTTTGGGCATATACCCTGTGGAATCCAGCTTTACTGTCATGAATGGTCCCAATATGTCCCAATGACTTGGAACCTTGAAAGATCCTTCCGGCAAACACCCCTTATCATCCCCTTGCCATGCAAAACCTTCAGGTGCTTTTTTCAGCCTCTTCTCGATCCGTCTCGATTGCTCAATCAAGAGCGCTGAGTGGCATGGCAAGATCATGGGCCATACATTGGACCCCTATCATGGGCTCAAGTCAATATACGGAGATGCATGATGAACACACGCTGTACCTTGAAAGGGGGTACTCGATCCTCAAGTCTCCTGAAGGCCCCTGACCTGCATCATGCTGATATGTTGGAACTGTGCAGGAATGTGCTCCGGCGCAGTACATGCAAGAACACATGTTCATCCAATATAGTGTTTAATTAGGTGCTTTGGGGTATGCCAAAGCAATGGTGGAATGGAACTGCTTTGGCCAATTCTGCACATGGTATTCCTGGCCTGTGTTTTTTGTTGCGCTCGGCACGTCCCGCACTTTGATGATGTACATTGGCCGATCAACACAAACATAAAGCTCTTCAGCCATTTGAGAATCCGCCATGTACAGTATATTTTTTCCTTGATCTGAACATGAGTTGTTTTGTTTGGTGATGTTTTCATGGTTCCTTTATATACTATATACTTTGCGCCAACTTCATTGATCAGCGCATAGTGACACCACTTTGCTGTCTCTGAGCCTCACCATAGACTCCTGCGCAGCCAGTTTTGGGCTGTGGTTTGGTAGTGCTGCATAGGGGCAAAAAGCCATGCCTTCTTCAGCCCACGGTGGCAGTGGGAGCCGCACTAGCTCACCCGGATGTTCCCCAAAGACTGTTGGAACCTTTGATTTGGATGGGGTCCCAGTAGCTTGGGACAATGAACCTTCGATCAGAGAGCGCATCAGGGGGAACAAGAACCTTTGCCTTGCCTATGATGAGACAGGTGAGCCCGCCTGTGGAAAGGTTGATGCATCCTTGGAGAATGTGAAGCTGAATAGTGCCGTTCTGAAACCAATTCTGGTCATCATGGCCTCCTACAACTTGCAACTTCCATCTATCGAGGTCTTGATTTCTGCAGTTGAGCACTTCTTTGTGCTAAGCAAATTGTCTCGTTCGATGGATGCCTGCTACCAGGAGGCATGGGCAATTCGCCGCATGATCGGAAAGGCCAAAAAGAATGACTTACCGAAGCTTCCCACCCCAGGACCGTCTGTGTATAGTGCATATACAGTCTCAGACATGCTGTTTGTTTAAAAGTGTTTTCCCATCCAAGACTTCCAAACAAGGTTCCTCCTCGCAGTCCCGATACCCCGTTCGCTCCTTCCACGAAAGCCACGGAGGATGAAGTCTTTGCAAGCCTTGTTGAGGCCATGGGCTTCTGTGTGAAGGCAGGTTTGGGCTCAAAGGAATGGATCTAAGTTGGTGTAACCACCAGGCAACAATTGTAAGATATTGTAAGGTTGCTGCAGTGAATGGTTTTGGGTTGCCTATCAAGCACTCCAAAATGTGTGCACAGAATTGATATATGGGATAGAGCTTAATCGCACTGGAGTTTCAAGCCAACTCCAATCCCATTGACCCTCAGGATTGGCGTCCACTGACTTCACGTGACTCAAACTTGTGCCCACATGATGGTGATCATGACAGCCAACCACAAGAAGAGGCAATCCTCAGTCAAAGGTTGGAGTTCCCAGACACCCAAGATGTTGAGGAACAGCTCGACTCCATCATGGACAGTTTGGAGAAAGAGCTTCCTGAAGTGCCTTTACCACCGCCATCCATGCCTCAACTCCCAAGTCCTCCGAGGGACCGCGCTGCTGATGGAGAGGATGCGCATCCTGCACCAGTGCCTGGCCAAGCATCCAGTGGTGGGGAGAATGGCTCCAAACTGGACCAGGTGGAGGCAACTATGAAATTGCCTACCCCGTGCCGTTCGCAGTCTACCCCAACAGAAATGCCTCAACTCCCCTGCACTGGTCATGGAAAAGCATCGAAGGAGGGTGGTGGGAATTCAGGGTTCAAGTGCATGCCAGTTGAACATTTGACACTATATATAAACCTGATATAGAAAACTCAAGTCAAACAACGTATATAGGGCGGGTTCCTCATGCATGTTTATTCAACCCAACCAAATTGTGGGTTGATCATGTTTCTTGTATTCCCTGCCGCCAGGAGATTGTTGTGGACATTTCTGACGATGAAGGAATGCCAGACAAGCCTGCTGCACCCTTTGCTTTACCGACTAGCATTGAGTCCGTCATCATGCAAGTCCTCCAAGATCGTTTCTCTTTGTGATTTGGTTATAATTGAAACATGCACAGAATGCTTTCCTGTTTGCTGCAATTGGAGCCCACTATATATCCGAAACAGGTCTGAAGAATGATCTAGCAATATACTCCAAAAAGGATTCGGATAAAGGGCCTATGTAGAAAATATTGGATTGCCAAATTGTACTCGCGTGACTCGTGCCCCTAAGGAAACCTGTGGAAAAGGCGACTAGTCCAACCAGTGAGGCCCATGCAGTGAAGGAGTGTTGCTTTGAGGCCTGCTTGGATCAGGAGACACGTTGCTCGATTTTGTTTATAGTAAATATGTTCATTTCAATGGCGGAAGCAAGCACTGAATGTATATAGGGTCTGTTCCAGCTCAAGTTATTCAAAAGTATATTTTTTGAATATACAACTCTGATTGGATTTCACGTTGGCCTAGGCTTGGATCCTAAACCGGAACGAGCCAGCTTTATGGACCCTATGTTGCTGCTGTCCGATTCCATGCTTCCTTCGGCTGGGCCCTATGATGAGACGCAGTTGCCCTGCTCCCCAAACCAGCTTATGAACAGTGACGTGGCTTTGGAGACCGTGCGGTCTGTGGAGAAGCATGATCAGGAGGTCGAGAATCAGGTACGGGGCGTTAAAAGATTATTTCGAACCATGTGATCATGCAGTTAGCCAACACCTCAACAGTGCTTTGATATCCAGCTAGAACAGTCGGTGAGTGTATTGATTGTTATACACTAAACCGGTGCTTAGCCTGAAGGTGATGGAAAATGGTCTTGATGACGTCATCATTCCAGACCATGAAGTTGTGACAAGGCGGAAGCAATTCCGCATGAAGAAGGATTTGGCTGAACAAAAAAAGAAGAAGAAGCAAGATAAGAAAGAAGAGAAAGATAGAAAGAAAGAAGAGAAGGACAAGAAAAAAGCTGAGAAAGCCGCGGCAGCTGAGAAGAAAAAGGCTGACAAGGCTTTGAAACAAAGAGGCCGCAATTCAAAGGAGAAAGCCAAGGAGCGGCAAAAGAAGCAGCGGAAAGCTAAGAATGCTGAGCCGGATCCACAGGCGGCGGCATCAGCTTCACAGAATGATGCAGTGAGGAGTCGAAAGATGAAAAGACTTAAGAAAATGTCTTCCTGGCACAAATCTCACGAGGACTTGGCCGAAGTCGATGACTCAGCGGCCAAGAAGAAGGAGAATGGCTCCAAAAAGAAGGAACCTGAGAACCTGCCAAAGGAGAAGAAACAGAAAAAGGCGGTGCCAAAAGAGTCAACAGCAAAGACCAAGACACTGAGCAAGAAGCCAACGAAGAACAAGGGAATTGCCACTGTGAAGCAATCTGGGGAAAGGGATGAGGAGGAGGAGCCAACGGAGATGATGCAGCAGAAGGTCCACGGAGGGGAGGTGGAAGAAGGCAGGATTGAGGGAGACAAGGACAAGACGGAAAGGAAGAATGATGCAGCAAGAGTCGAGGAAGAGGAGGTTGATGACCCGCCGGTTGATGACGCAAAGGTTGAGAAGAATAGGAAGCCAAAGAAGCAAAAGAAGGAAGAACCGAAGAAGAACAAGAGTCAGTCAAAGGCCAAGACGGCAGGCAAAAAGAAAGGGAGCTCGACAAATCCCGTATCCAGCAGCAAGAAGCGGGCTGCCAAAACACCAGGCGAGCAGCCTGAGAAAAAGGTGAGGAGGTCCAGGGCCTCAAGGGACTCAAATGAAGGCATTGAGAAAGATGCTGCGGTCTCCGACTTGGTACTGCAGACTCTGAAGGAGTGCAAGGCATCCGAGTGCACGCACCCTTCTTTTGAGAAAGTCCAAGCGAAGCACTCGTATGTCCAGCCCTACTGGACCCGGAACGCTGCGGGTG